ATCGACCATTTCTGGCTGGCAACTTTCAGCGTCATTAAGCCGCTGCGCCACCGTGTCCCCTTATACTTCTTATACTGTAGGGCAATTGTGCTATGAAGATTAGCAATATTATAAGGTTGGGATGGAGGCTATTCTGAATCTTTCTGCCAGCTTATATCACACACTCATTCTTACAGATGTAGTGTATGAATGCACAACAAGAATTCAATTTATAATTCAGCTATACTGATACTGAAGATATTATAAATGACTTGTATCCTCTAACATTAGCATTTCTAATGTTGCTTTGTTTAAAATAGTTAAGATTGTTTTCACTGCGGTATGTTGATCTAATTCCAATGTATGTATGATCTTTCCAATCATTTTCACATGATTGAGAGGATATTTTTGTCATCTAGGTTTAAGTATTTCTTTGCCTTTGTTCAGACCTTTTAAGATCTGATTTTTTACAGGCAGAAGTTCAGTAATTATTATTCAAAAAAGTAAGGAATTAGAAGTAGTCAACTTTCAAGTAATTTACTCACATGAGTGTGTAAAATTATTAGGAGACCTATTTTTTTATAATTCAAGGATCAAGAAAAATAGAATAATAAAAATATTTTCCAAAAATACATAAACTTTCCTTAGCTCACTTAACCTCTTTCAGTAACATCCAAAGAAAATATTCAATATGCTATTTAGTTATTCCAATTTTCAAAGTACTTCTAATAGTGTACAGCTAATTAATGGATGATGTCGTTTCAGCATTTGCGTACATTAAAGATTCCAGGGAAGCAAGTATCAGCTTTATCTTGGGAAGGAGGAGGTTTAAAAATAGCATTAGCTGTTGATCAGTGTATTTATTTTGCAAATATTCGACCAGACTACAAGGTAAGGAACCTGTTAAAACATTATCTGACACTGAACTGGTTTTAATTGAGGTTCTGCTTACTAATATATTGCTTTGTACATTTTTTGAGGGTTTGTTATATATTAAATTTTATTATTTATGATTATTATTGTTATAAACTCTCTTGAGAATACTCACATTGGAAAGCCTGTATTATTTATTACTGAGGTAGTCAACCTGATATTTCCTGATGTTTGAAATATAGTTCCCATCAGACTTATCCCTCATAACTAATAATTAGAGTTTATTGGAATTGTGATCCAAAACATCAATTCAAGGGTTTTCTTTCCTTAAAGACCCTGTACCTTTCTCAATAAGAAGAATTATCCGAAGCATTCAATATTTTAAATGGGATTAGTTATCTGTATGGGAAAGATATTCATCAGTATTGACTCTATGCAATATGTTTCTACATACTGTACTGTACAGTGTTATTGAGGAGTAATAGTGTTGTTGTTTTTGTTAACAGTGGGGTTATTGCACTAATACAGTAGTGTATGCATATACCCGACCTGATCGTCCAGAATATTGTGTTGTCTTCTGGGATATAAAAAACAATGAAAAGTATTTGAAATTTGTCAAGAGTTTAATCTCCATAACAACCTGTGGGGACTTCTGCATTCTGGCAACTAAAGCAGATGAAAATCAACTGCAGGTATAATTGCTTATTTCATAACCTTATCTGTTAGTCCAACTGATCAAAATGTCCACTAATCACAAAGTTGATTAACAATCTTTGGAACTATTTTAAATCTATAACTGAAGTCTTATGAAATTCTAAATTATTCCTAGTATTATGGAACGTATGAATCGGAAGAGATATTATAGGTTACTTAGTCTAATCCTCTCAATATAGAGGATCCTCAGTATAGGAATCCACTAAACCATCTCTGATAGGTGACCATCCTGCCCTAACTTCTCCAGCAAAGAGTATACCACTCTTCTTGGCAAACTGTTCTACTGCTTAATAGCTCTTACCATCATGAAATTCCTCCTAATGTTCCGCCTGATTCTGTACTATTTTTGGCTTCAACAAAGTACAGGTCCACTCTTTCTGCATGTGACAACATTTTAGAAATGTGTAAATTTCTATACATGCAGCAGCATCTGCAGAAAATCATGATAACACTAATGTGACAACCCACAGACAATGATTAATTGTGCCAGTGCTGTGATTACATACTTATCATTTGCCTTTCCATACCCTCAATCACTTAGTCCTTCCCAGCTATAGCCTGTTTCAAAACATTAAAAGCATGTTTTAAGCATAAAAAGAAATAATTTTTTTTTATTTAGAAATCTTATGGAGAGTTACTTTATAATCATGTCATGGTAAAGAAAATCTTCAATAATGAAAGCCTTACCTGATATTATTACTATTTAGTAAAGAAACAAAAATAAACTACAGTGCATATCCAGTGTAGAAAAAGCATATTACAGATCCGCAGGCTGAATTCACCTTGGAACATTTTGCTGCTATGTTATATTTGCTGTTGCATTACAGTGGAACCTCGGGTTACGAACGCTTCTGTTAACGAACTTTTCAGGTTACGACCAGCT